AAGAGTATTTTCAGGAGATTTTGAAATCCAGCTAAACACAACTATAGAAAATTTAAGGTCAAAACTGTGAGGAAGAAATGATTGAAGAAACAATGCGAGAAAGTATACTAAGCTTTACTGCATGAATTTGCAAACCAAAAGGCTCACTGAGTTCCTAAAACAATTACTGATAAGAACATTACCAGAACTTCACCAAAACATGTCATCAGGAAGTATAAAAATACTAAAGATAAAGAGAATATAATAGTTTTCAGAATAAAAAAAAACCACTATATTTAAAGAACTGACCACAAAATATTTATTTAAAGAATGCCATCAAGTTTTCAAGCAGTAGTAAGCATAGAGAAATGAAAAAATACTGAAGCTATATGACTTCCACCTTGGAATTTTATACCTAAACAAACTAGCAATCAAAGATGAAATGAATAAACATGAAAATTTTTTGCATGAAAGGTATGGCAGACATACATTTAAACTATTGTTCTTATTCATTGAACTCTGTTTTGTTTAAAGCACTAATGTATACATGACCCCTCCTGGGTCATCAGGAAAGCTATAATGCAGTTTTGCATAGAAAAACTTAAATACTCATGATTTCCCTGATGACCTAATATAACTTTTCTATCATCATCCCACATGGCTAGAAGTGGCCCTGGGTCATAATCTGGCCAACGAGATCTAAAAGAGCATCTGCAACAAGGTTTATAAAGATGTCACTATTTCAAGATAAAAATAGACTTGGCTGGCTATGCATTTTGTCTTTTCTGCTGTGGGATGAAGATATAATCCAAGAGGACCATCATAAGACCATGAGGCAGTACACATAAAATCAAAAGTTAACATCTCGGTATAATACAAACAAAGTGGTTGGTCCCTGATCACATCACTGACCTGCTGTACCACTTACACCAGCTACTACACTGTTTATTTTTGTTATGTAAATTTTTTAAAAAACTTTTTAAAAAATTGCTATCAGAGCCAGCATGTGGCATGGTGGTTGGGGCGTTGGACTCTCACATGGCCAAATGTAGTTCGAGTCCCAGGTCAGTGGCTTGAAAATCACACCTGGCACATGTGTGTGCATGAGTTTCCAAAATCCCAGAAGAATGGAGGAGAAGGGATTGTGGCAGGGCCATCCCCCTAAGAGGTGATTTCTCACTTTCCTTCTCACTGTCTCTCTCTGGAGAGTGCACTCACCCTATGGCAAAAACCTTAAAAAAAAAATTACTATCAAGTTTTCTGTTACTTGCAGCTGAAAGCATCCCTAACACATTCACAAGTTATTTAAAAATTTTATACCCCAAACACCCTTCCTTAGGAAGTTATTGTAAGATATTCTCCATAAAGTCAAGAATGAAGTAAGAAAGAGAAAGTTGTGGTGCTCAGAAAAATAGGTGAATCAACACAAGAAAGATGCAAGAAGAATTTCCAGCATCTGTGTAAAAAAACAATAGTTCTGGGACAACAGTTATACTGTATGCCTAAAAAGAAACCAATTCATTTTGGATTAGGAGGGCACTGGGAAAGATCACACACACACACACACACGAAATAATGAACAGACTCCCTGATGTGTTTAAATATAGTAAAAGGAATGTAATAGTCCTCCCAGAAACTTTGTAGGTAGAGGGGTTGTTAAAGTGATAAGTGAAAACACACACACACACACACACACACACACACACACACACACACAAGCATTTTTCTTACTCTCATTCTCAGTACAAAATGTTGTACTTCTGGTCACCAAGATGTGTGAGGATTTCTTCCTAACAACAACCGATTCTTCAGTAGACACCAACTGAGTGTCCCACAATTTAACTCAACTTTGACACTGGAATAGCATCAGATTCCACTGGTTAAGAGCTCAGTCCCACAAGTCTGTTCCCCGCTTCAGATGCCAATTGCAAGTAGTATGTTGTGACCTATACTTCTGATCAACTAATTCCCACACCCCATCTTCAGGTTCTATTAATTTACTACAACAGCTCCCAGAATTCACGGAAATATTGGGTTGTCGGGAAAGTCATGGTGTATTTTTCCATGAGAAAAGAAAGTCAGGACTTTCCCAACAACCTAATACTTGGAATTCATCATTAAGAAAGGATATAATAAAGGACAGAGATGAACAACCAGATGGAAGATATGTATAGTGCAAAGGATGGGGGAAGGGCTGCAGAGCTTCCATGCCCTCTGTGGGTGTGCCATTCTCCAAGCACCTCTACATGTTCGGCAATCTGGAAATTCTTCAACCCATGTCCTTTGAGTTTTTATGGAGGCTTCATTATGAGGGCATGATTGATTGCATCACTGGCCATCCCTGACCAACTCAACCTTCAGTTCCTCTTCTCTCCCTATGGGGTGATATGATGGGGTTGAAAGTCTTTACTTTCTAATCGTGCCTTGGTCTTTCTGGAAAGCAATCCCCACCTTGAAGCAATGTATAGGCAACCAGTCATCTCATCAGCATACAAAAGACACTGTTGTCACTCTGGATATTTTTAGGAGCTGTGTGCCAAGAACCTGGGGCAAAGAATATATATTCCTTATTATATCACAGAGAGCCATATAGAAAACAGTAAAATCCAATCAATTCCTACTCTACAAAAAAAAAAGGGTTGTAAGAGGGATAAAATGAGAATACTGTATAACTGTTGTGAAAAATATTTGCAAAGTCGTCATAATGCAAATGTTAACTTTTAAAAAATTATGGCAGCATTATTAATATATGAGGAAGCTGAAAAGAAGTCTGTGTGGCTAGAGTAAGCAAGAAAGAGAATAAGAGAGATTAGGAGAAAAACAGGAAAATGGGAATTGAGTTGTCCACAGGTTTGAATTTTTCTTTTTTAAGGGTGATAAAAAGCCCTTGGAGCGTTTTAAACAGGAAACTTGTGAGATCTAACTCATGGCTGAAAATAATGACTTTGGCTATAGGGCTTGGGAGAACACACCATGAAAGGACAAGAAGGAAATCCAGTAGGCCAGTTAAAGGGCTATTGTTCCAGACTTAAGAGGTAGCACAGAATAGATTTTTTTAAAAGAAGAAAGAAAAGGAAAGCCTGGATTGGGAAAGGCACACTTGAAGATAGTAGTTAGGAATATATCAGAGGTTGGTAGCTTATGGAGTGAAAGAGTAGACTCAGAGATGCCTTCCAAAGTGTTAGTAGTATAAGGCATATGGAGAAGACAGAGGATATTACTGATTTGGGGAAGATTGGGAAGGAATGATTTGGAAATGGAGGTTGGGCATCTAGGGTTCTGTTAGGACTCAGATGTCTCAGGAGGTACTAAGTAGGCAATTGTGTGGGAGCACAGGGTTAGGGGATAAGGATAAGGACAAACCCAGAATATGATTTGTCATCAACAAGTAATTCCTCTCTCTGGCCAACAACAAAGAAATGTTTCATCTTATGTTTGGATTTTTAACCAACTCCAATGGGGCACTAACTTAAGCCTTGATCTTGAGAATTTAAGATTAAACTAGAAATGAATCTTGAAATATCACATTATGTAATTCATTAAAAAGCCTAACTGGTTTTCTATTTGGGGTCATATGTATTCTAAGGAAAAAGCCTCTCTACAAATATTGTAGCCATTCCCCACTCGCATGAAATAATTTCCTATTTTTAACTTGATTTAATAAACATTTTTCTTTTAAAAAGTTGTATCTCCCATAGTCAGTAGACTTTTGTTTATGTGTAGAGAGTATGTACTCAGTAAAAGACTACCTCAGGCATGCTTTGAGACTCTGTTTCGATTTCTTTAAAGTTTCTTCTCAATCAACTTTGGAAAAGATCAATTTGTACTAAAGTCTTTCAACACACTTTGGCTCCTGTTATTTCATTTGAGGGCCATAGAATTTTCTAAATAACCAGTCGTGTTCTTGTTTGGCTTTCTCACTGCTCTTCATTGCTTTGAGAAATCCTTTTAATTAATAATTCCCAAATTGGTCTTCATTGCTGCGTGCATTTTAACAAGAACTGGGTTGTACCACATTACGGAAGGTAGAGGTTAGCAGTGGCAATTGCAAAATAAAACCTACCATAAAGAGGTAACGGTCTGTGATTGAGGCCAGTTGCTGAAAAACAAATGCCTGTTTTATAGAATCATAGAAATTTAGAACTTGAGGCCAAGGCAATGCATTCATTGGTGGACCGACAGCACCTCTAGCGGCAGAAGCCGTCAACGACGACCTGGGGAAGCTCTTGGATTTTTAAAAAGGCACCTGCTGGGTGAGTCCTCATTATGCAAACAAGATCCACAGGTGCCCAACTTTAAGGGGCTCCAACTAGGGGAACTCTAAGTGTAAAAAAGCGATAATATCCGCACTTTAGTTTAACTCCGAAATAAGTTCTCGTTTTACACTAGGTTGATCTAAGCGATTATTTACAGCCAAGAAACTGAGTGGAGAGAGGTAGACAAATTTTGGTAAAGTTTGGTCGTCACTAACAACTCCGGAGCGATCCCGGAAGAGGAGCAAGAGGATGAAAGAAGGTCAGAGTCCATTTTTAAAATGAAGACTGTTGTGGAGCGCAGCAGGCACACCTGCGGGGAAGGGGCTGCCTCACCTGCGTAGTTATTGCAAGTCCCCCAAGTTCATTAGTGGGGTAGCAGGTGAAAGAAAACCTCATGGAGAGTTGACCCAGAGCCTGGGCTGGGGAAGATTTACTGGACACGGCCAGTAAGATGACCGGACGCGCATCATTCTGAGCGATACGTGTGACTCCAGATAGAGAGAGACATTTGAGCAAAAGTCACCCAAGAAGGGAGCGGACGGCCCAAGGCTGTGCCATCCAAGTGAGATACTGGCCGCTTCGGGCCCTGGGCCAAGTGCCCCCACCCCTTCCGCAGTGAATTGGCACCTGGAAGAGGTTCAGCCTAAGCCACACTGGGATGCGCCCGGGGCAACGCCTATTGGGGCAGCCCAGACACTCAGTGTGCCCAGCGCTGCGCTAGGTACCCGGGGACGAGCAGTCAGTCGCCTGGGCTAGGCAACTTACCTCGGGCTGCTCCGGGCGCGAGCAGAGCCCCGGCCAGGGCGAGCAGGAGGGCGCGGGCTGGGGGCGCGGGCCGCGGGCGCGCTGCCATGGTCGCCAGCCTTCAGTGCAGCAGCTCTTGGGGCCCGGCGGCAAGGGCTGCACCATCCCACGCGGGCGCAGAGCCGGGGCCGGGCGTCGCGACCGGAGGGATTTCCTGCAGCAGCGAGTCAATTCCGAACCCCTCAAGCAGCGCCCGCGCTGCTGATGAACTAGTCTAGCCTTTCATTTAAAAAAAAGTTTTCCCGTGTGTGTGTGTGTGTGTGTGTGTGTGTGTGTGCTTGCGCGCGCGCGCTGTTCTGGCACGAGCAAGCCTTGACCGTTGCAATAAATGAGCAAACTGTCCGAGTTGGCCCTGGGACGAGGAAGATCGTTAGTGAGAGAAGGCAGGCCTGTGAAATGGATCCACCGCCAACAGTCACCGTTCTCATTACCTCGGAACAAATTATCTTCTCCCCCAGCTCCCGCCCGTCGGCGTCCTGCTGGTCTTAGAGACCTCTCAAGGCACCCCGCCAGGGCCCCGCCCAGAGCCGCTGCTCGCCCACCCCCGGGGGCGGCTCCGTACAGGGCGCCTCCCGGGCCGCGCACACCGACTGCACAGACGTGGCTCGGTGGGGGCGCGGGCGCCTAGAGCGCACACATCCCCGCCCCAGGATGATGTGGCCGCGGGGCCCCGGGCTCCCGGCTGCCAAGAGCACACGCGGCGGCACGGTCCAGCTTTCCAGGCTGAGGCTGGAAATGATGACTCGGCTGCTCGCTCCCAGCCTCGCCGGGAACCCAGGCAACACGGGTAGCAGATCTGAATAGCGGTCCGCAGGCCCGCGGGCGCCCTTTTGGCCGGTCTTTGAGCCCACCTGGGCATCTCGCCCCTGAGAAATAAGCTTGGACTCGCAAGCACAAGGCATCTGGGCATTGCCCTTTTGATACGTTTGGTTTTATGTCAGGTTGGCTGACAGGTCTTTTCTATGGCCTGGTCGCAGAAAAGCGTGTATGGAGATGTCTTCCAAACTTTCCTGACAGTAGAAAGCATATGGGTTGGCTTGTTAAAATGCAGATTCTCAGGTGCCTTCCTGAATCTGCAGAATGCAATTCTCCAGGTCTGGAAACCAAGGAAGAAGCACCAGGTGTTTAGACAAACACCAAAGAAAAGAATGATTTGCTTTCAGACCTACTTCTAGGCCAACTCTGCCTCTTCCGCCCCATAACCTATGCAAACCTGCGTGTCAGTTTTTATAGCAAGGCTTTTTGCCGTCACTGGAACCACTGAGAACAGCAGGGAGGGGCCACAGAGACAGGAGGGGTCGATTGAGACATGAAGTCGGAGCTCAGGTGATCTCCAACCTTAGATGCTTAGAATAGTAAGGGTTAGGGATCAGCAGACGCCATAATGGTTAGGGCGCTGGACTCCCACATAGGCCACCGTGGTTCAAATCCTGAACTCAGCGGTCTAGAACTGACACAAAGCACATGTGAGTGCCTGCCCAAAATCCCAAGAGGAGAATAGAGGAGGGGTGTATTGCAGTGTGGCCATCCCTCCTGGAGCGGGGGGGGAATTGCTCACTTTCTGTCTCTCTGTCCCTCTGGCAAGCACACATACCCTATAAAAAAAAACTTTCTTAAAAAAAAAAGAATAGTAAGGGTTAAACACAATGCCAAGCCCCCAAAGGCTAATTAACTCAATCTTCTAAAATGTGTGTAGCTAGAGTTTTTTTTTTTTTTTTTTTTTTTGGGGGTTTTTTTGAGAGGTTTTTGCTATAGGGCATGTGCACTCGCCAGACAGACAGAGACAGACAGAGAGACAGAAAGCGAGAAATCACTCCCCAGGGGGGATCCCTTATCCTCTATTCTCCTCTAGGGATCTTGGGCATGCACACACATGCGTCCGGCGTGAGTTTTAAGCCACCAGGCCCAGGACGCGAACCGCAGTTGACTATGTGGGAGTCCAACGACACAGCTATTACGCTAACTGCTGGTCCCAAGCTAGGGAAATTTTGAAAACAGCAGGTGGTTTAACTGTTTAGTCAAGGCCTAGAAATACTGGTAGAAATTCTATCCTGGTTATGGGATCTCCCACCAATTCAAATTCCTGAATGAGTCCCCACTCTAGGAGGTGGTTAGCCAGCATTTAAGGAAGTTTCTCTCCCTTACTATCTCTTCCTACTGGGAAGTAGCTTTTCTCAAGAGCACCCTCTCACCCCCAGGTTCTAACCAGGTCAACTCTCTGAACAAAATGCAGGACTTTAAAAGAAGCAGGAAGGGGCCACACAGTGGCACGATTCACACTGGTCACAGGTCCCCTTCCCAATGCAAGGACACCTCAAGACTCAATTTGGAAACAAAGCTTAGGGCCAAGCCCAGGTTTAAATCCGGCACAACTAACCAACAAGCTTTACATGTCTTTCCTTTGTTCATACATTCACCGAGTCGAAGTTAACAACAGCTATGTTAGGGACTTGAGAAATGGAACTAATGAGAAATGCTTTTTACCTTCAAAGACTTTTCTGTCCCATAGGAAAAACTGATAAATCACCATTATTGTACAGTGTGAGCTGGGTACTTAACTGTTTAAGTCATAGTTAGGTTGTTTGTTCATGACTACATTATTTATTACAAACTTCATATAATTTGAGAATTGTGCTGAAGTATTTTACCCTGAATTACTTCATTTTACAACCTTGACTCTGTAGATGAGGAAACTGCAGCATACAGAGGTTAATTACCTTTTCCATAACCACACGACAAAGAAATATGTCAGAGCCCAACTTCAGATGTTTTTGCAGATACAGCCTATGGCTTTAACCCTGAGTTCCAATCTTCACTTTTGGAATCTGTAAGCAAAACTAAAATACAAATCTCCTAGGTGGTTGTGAGTATTAAATGAGTTAATGCAGTTCTTCCCAATCCACTGGTGATATTTGTTAAGAATTCAAATTCCTTGGTGTTTGTGCTGGAGATTTTGATTAGGAATGTCTGAGAGGGACAGTTTAGCAAGTGTCTAGTGCGTCTTTTTTTTTTTTTTCTTTTTTTTTTGGGGGGGAGGAGGTTTTTGCTATAGGGCACATGCGCTCGCCAGTAGAGACGGACAGAGATATAGAAAGTGAGAAATCACCCCCCCAGGGGGGATGGCCACACCACAGTCCCTTCTCCTCCATTCTCCTCTCGGGATCTTGGGCACCCATGCACACGCACCCAGCATGAGTTTATGCCACTGGGTCCAGGACTCAAACTGCGGTCGACTACATGAGAGTCCAGTGACATGGCCATTATATGCTAGCTACTGGTCCCAATATCTACACAATTCTGATACTATGCTTCATAGAACTTCAAAACACTGAGTAAAATAATTAAAAATGGTTTCCTTTGAGGTCAATGTACAGATTTGCTCTGGGACAAGCCCAGCTGTTGTTCTTTTGAAACATTCCAACTGATTAAATGGCTTATTCATAATATGTACTCTGCACTGGTCCAGGTGCCTTATACAGTCTCTTAATTTTCATTTATATTTTACTTTGTTATGAAGCTGTCGCTCTTGACTATAAGTCTTGACTATTAAGTTGTTAAAAGCAAAAAATAAAAAAAAATAAAAAAATAAAAAACCTGAAAATTGCAAAGCTTTCTCTAAAAGGCTAAGTGTGCCCCCAAACTGTCTTTGGTTGGTTCGCTCTTGACTATAAGTCTTGACTATTAAGGTTGTTAAAAGCAAAAAATAAAAAAAATAAAAAAATAAAAAACCTGAAAATTGCAAAGCTTTCTCTAAAAGGCTAAGTGTCCTTGGTTGGTTTTGACTGGATGAAACAAAACACCCCTTGCTTAGAGGGGAAGGAGGAAGGAGAAAGAAAGAGAGAGAGAGGGAGCAAAAGAAAGAAATCTTCGCTGCAAGCCTTGTTTCTCAACCCTCTAATTCACCACCTTTGTGAAGCAAGGAACCTGGGCTGACACTCTATCCATAAAGACTTCATGCATGTCAATAACAGCCAGCTAGGCAAAGAGCAAATCTCCTGTCTGGCAGATGGTCTGCCTTTGGATGGGAATTCTGCCTCCTCATTCACAGGAAATGGAAGCCGACATCACATTCAATACTGGATTGTTAGGTAATGGTGTGAGGTCAGAGGCCAGGATCTGCTCATTAAAATTTCAGATAGATGGCTTGTTGTCCTTTCCTTTCTAGAAGAATTGACCTTTGCAGTACCGTTTCCTGTGTGCTATTTTTGTTTAACAGCCTGGGCATTCACAAAGAACAGGGCACTTATTTCTTACCCAAGCTCACATTTAGCTCAATCTACTTTGAGTACAGCAGATGAAAAATGGAGGCAAATTTTCCTAAGCCAGGATTTTACAGGCAGCCACTCCTGATTCCTACAGAAAGTGAAGGATCAGCCTCTTTGTAGCTTGACCTATTGATGGACCTTCAGACACACTCACAGAACAGCTTTTATCTCTCCAAGCACAGTTCCCAAGGCTTGCTGCAAAAGTAAACAAACACAATCGCCTCCTGATTAAGATTCTTGGAAATATTTTTAATTCCATTTCTCAGAGAGATTGAAACTCCTCCTCTCAGCCTTTAATAACACATAGTCCATTTTTCTTTTCATAGCTCTCACTTTAGGAATCTGTGTCTATTCACCTCCTTAGAAAACTGCTTCTAAAGAACTTCTGGATCAAACGCTCTATTCTCTGATATGTCCATTATTGTACAGTATCAGTACTTAAGTAGCACATCTAAAAATCAAAGGAAAAATGCTCCTTGGGGATGAGGGAGGTGGGGAAGAACTCATGGATGCTCTGGGTCAAAAGGGAAAGGAAGGTCACCTCATTTATATTCATCAATGTCATCCTGCCAATTGGCCATTCAACTTCCCCTCATATACAGTCATGAGCCACATAACATTTCATTCAACGATGAACTGCATATATGGCCATGGTTCCATAAAATTATAATAGGCCCCACCATATAGCCTGGCTGTGTAATAGGCTATGCCATCTAGGTTTGTGTAAATATCCTCTAGATGTTTGTACAATGAAGCAATTGCCCAACTACACATTTACCAGAACATATCCCTATCATTAAATGATGTATAACTGCAGTGTGATGGGGAACTCATTACTGATACCATCTCTTTCCCAAAGAGAGTCCATTTTAAGTAATCCAAGTGACTAACAACTCCCATAGGAACAAGAGGCACCTTTATCAATACATCAGATGCTGAGACAACCCTTCCACTATCACTTAGGGCCGAACGAGTGAAAGGACAGTATTCAGAGAACGGTAAATAGGAAATCTTGAAAACAAATGTGAACTCATAACAAGAACCACCAAACATATGAGGACACTTTTTCATTCAAGAAATAGAGCTTAATCCTTTTTTCTCTTCAGTGTGGACTGGACTTAGTAACTTGTTCTAATGAATAAAATATGGTTAAAATGACCGTGTGTAACTTCTCAGACTAAATTGTGAAAGGTAG